GGATATGGTGATCCAGAGAGGAAGCCCGTTGTTGGTACTTCCTAGCAATTCCTAGCAATCAAGAGGAAACCTCAAGAAGGCGGTCTAACACCAGAACAGTGTAGCTGGAAACTTCACCATATTCCAACTATATAACCAGTCAAGTCATAATATTCATTTGGGTATTTTCTACATCCTTCCCTGAGGTGCTGAAACACAGCACCTTAGGAAAGGACTTCTGATATTAAATATAAATCAATCTAGTATATCACAGCAGGGAGTGTGTGGTATCTATTCATAATTTTCAATACATAATTAATATATTTTTAGGTAGATCAGTCCCCTTTCGGAACGGATATAAGTATAAATATTAAATATAGCACATATAAATAAACGCAGTTTCTGGGATCCCCTACTCGCCTTAGAAAAGCGAATAGCCAGAAACGTAGCAAGTATATTTATTTTTTTTATTTAAGAGCTTTTCTTCATAAATTGAGGTTTCCCTCAGCCATACTTCCATCTTTCAGTCGGTTCCTCCACTTCTCTATGTCCTACGCTTCCTCCTTCGTCAGCCCTCGGCCCGCCATACTCTCTGCCGCAACATCTCTCCATCTGACACGAGGTCTTCCTCTTCTTTTCCTACACTCGGCCTCCCACTCAAATGCCGTTTTGTGAAGTTGTTCACTGTCCATCCTTTTCATATGCACATACCACTGTAATCTTCTTTCTTCCAGTATTTCTAGTATATTATACTTAACTTCCATCCTTTTTCTAGTGGTCTCGTTCCTGATTCTTTGCGTCCTTGAGACTCTAGCCGATCGCCTCTAAAAATGTATCTTCATAGCTAAACATGTTTTGCACTGTGATTACGTTTCCGAACTGTAGGACATTACGCTCTGTATTTTTTTTTTTTTTATAACTGTAAAATTTTTGGTTAAGGCTCAAATGATTCAACTGATAAGCTCAAACATTTGTATGAAGTTTCGCTTACTTAGAATGAATCCGGCTCAAAAATTAGGTTTTTTTTACTTGTGTATATTGATAAAATGATTATTAAAAAAAAAATGTGTTGAACTGGTTTACTTACAAGCAAGCGATATTAATTAGTTTTTAATGACCAACTGATGTTTGTTAATTTTAATTGTTGTCTTTCTCATTGTAGTCATTTATAATTGCTAGACAATTTTTAACATAAAGAATTGATAAGTTCATAATATAAAATAAAATCCTGTTATAATAGTATCCTATGCAAAACATTACAATTACTTCAAAGTGCTCATAATGACCTACCTGTCCGTACCCGATCACTATTGATGGCAGACCATTTCATTGAGTTGTACCATTACCGTCTTTAATATTTAATAATAGATGACTCCGGTATGGTTTCTGTTGAGAACAATCAATGCCTATCAGGCAATGATTGCACTTACAGTAATTGTCTTTATTTGATTTCAGTACTTAGTTCTGTAGTTGATGCGATGGCATCTAACCAACTCTTTCCCCAAACTGATTCATATTTTAGAATAATCTTTTTCATTTCTTCACTGTTCGGATTCTTTCCCTACCGCCTTAAAAATGAAACTTTCAAGAAATCCCCTTCACTGTGTTTTTTCACAGCAACAATTTTTATTGCAATTACCTCTTACGCAATTTATTACTTCTTAAGGATTTCTCTAAGTCCTTTGTTTGAACAAGGATTACTGTACAGAATATTATTCATACTGCTTTTTACAATGATGCCTCTGGTGACATTAGTTGGCATAGCTACATCATCTTCGCGTGCTTTGGCCATTAACAAGATGTTACATTCCTTGAGAGAGATCGACCGTCTTTCCTGTGACAAAAATCACTGGAAGGCTATGAGTTCGGATTGGAAGGAAAAAAACATCGTTGGTGCCTCCTGTATTTTGCCTTTTATCTTCTACTATCACTATTTTCAAAGTGATCTAAAAGCCCACATGACCGGAATATACTACTTTGTTCTTTGCGTAGGCGTGTACATCTCATCTTCTCAGTTCTCCGCTACGGCACTCCTTATCAGGAAAAGATTCTCCAGTCTTTACGATTGTTTAAAACAAGTCCGACTGGATGGCAATCTTAGCTTAGCTATTATAGAGATTAAACATTTAGTATACCTTCACAACCAACTGTGTGACGTGGCGGTGCTTTTGAACGAATCTTTCACTGTATTGCTTACCGTTCACATAGTTGCGGCTTTTATGTTAACAGTAATTGTCATATTCTACTTGACAGTCGGTTACTTAGAAATAAACATTTTTAATCCCAGTTTTTTTTTGCCTAACAAATCGATGAAATCCTCTGTACAGAAAATAAGAATAATCATTGCAATCCTGTTCTTTACCACTATTTGGCAAATCTGTACCTGTTCAAGAAAGATATCTAAAAAGGTATCGAATATTTTCGACCATTATGTAATTGAATTAATATATTTATATAAATCTTGAAAAAAAAAAAAAAATAAACAGCAGAACTCACTTATTTTTGAACTTACTTATTTTTGTAGATTAATAAATTTAACGCCCTCTTGTATCGATTCATGATTAAAGACGTAACGAAGAAAATGTTAAATGAGGTAAGTTCATATAGTTAATGTCTTTTTTCGTTTAATAACTTGCTTCAAATAGGACAATAGAAAAAGATTTTTAATATATGTGCCGCTTTTTCCAACTTAGGTTATCATTTATCGACAACGCTGTTAATTTCCACAAATGCTATAAACACTATAACACACTTATTAGGAAATCTGTTTCTCCTTAAAATACTATTTGAACCCACTTTGCTCCTTCGGTCGTTACAACGTGTTTCAAATTTACATATTTCTAATTCATTTTCGATTATTTTTTTTGTTTTGTAAGGAATTTAGAAATCTTTTAAATAATCATGGGCAAAATTAACAAAAGAAAATGTTTACTTTTTTATATATTTTAAAATAGAGCTCGTTTTCTTTCATAACTTTCCCCCCTGAAATTTCGAGGGATGTAACTATTTTTCTCACCTCAAGGATGAGGGATCAATATTTGGATTTGATGAAGAATTGACGAAAATATGGCGGCCCGACGAAAAAAAAAAAAACATTTTTGAGAAAAAATATAAAAAGATGGTCACAATACCTCATCATGTACATCGACAAATTTTCAGAAAAATGAAAGAGCTGTATTACATTTTTTTTTTTTCTGATCCTTCTAAATCGACCTCTAACATGTACTACGTATCCCTTGATATAATATTTGGCCAATAGGAACCTATAACACTGGTAGTTTCATGTGGCATATTAGTAAAATTAGCTTATTAGCTTGCTATTAACCAGTTCATTTAAATTTGTGCAAGGAGCAGCTAATACTTCAAGTCACTGCTAAGAGGGAAGTTATCTTCACTGCCTGTGGCTTCTTTAGCTTGGATTACGCTCTAATACATTCGGTAAGGTTAACTTCAAAGGTTACGTCTCCAATTCAAGTTTAATTATTTACATAATAATACTAATATATAATAATAATATAATAATAATAATAATAATTATTTACATGTGTATCTGTTAATAATTTCTTATGGGTTTGTTTACGTTATTTCCAAGGATTTTGTTTTCTGTTTTGTTGTGTACATACTTTCAATGTGATAAAAGTAATGCATAATAGTTTCTTGTCATTAATGTTTTAAAAACTCTGTTTTGTTGTATTGATTTTGCTTTAGACGTCAGGTGTGGGTGGGCATATTAGCTTGGGTTAGGGGCAGTCATTGTGTTAAGAAAGGGACGAAATTATCCCACGTTCCTTACAAAATCAATGTAGTGAGATGAGATAATTTAATTAATAATATTTCGTCAATTTTTTTTCTTTTCTCCTCTAACTCACATTTTCGGTAGTACAGAGTACTTTGGGAGCCAGGAGAGAGGGCGAGAGTTTCAGATTTTGAGTTTGCTAGGCATCCCATTTTTTTTCTATGTTAAATTACGATCTTGTATATTATACAATATTTTTGGTAAGCTATTCCTCCCCACATGTGCCAATAACATTGAATCAACCAACATATTCGAAGGTGGAATGTTAAATTAATCACATGTATTAATAATATATTGTAAATGCAATGTTATGATCATGCTTCTTTTCCTAATCAGATAATCAGATGGAGTTTCGCTCTAGGAACTGAGATAAGCCGATACAATAAATAAGAACAAACAATTAAATATATTTAAATACAAATTAGTAATAATTGTTAACGAATTCAAATAACAAAAACAAAATGATGAGGCTAGTTCTTCAGGTAGAGGATATTATTATTATCAATAAAAATACTTATTTTTACTTAACATATATTATTTACAGATGGTTGCTGCAGTCACAAGTTACATCATAATGCTGAAACAGTTTTATTCTCCTAAATAAAAACCATCTTTAGTAAAAATAGTTTTGCTAACTATCAGTTTGAAAATTAGTAAAAATATAATGAGATGTATTAGCTTTATTTGTATAAAATATATTTATTTACCATTTACTTTTTTTTTCTTACAATTTTATTTGTCAATAATTATTTATTATTTCTCTTTTAAATAATTTAGTTTTTACTGTAAATATTTTTGAATGTTATACATAAATATCATAAAATTTATCTTAGTCTATGTTTATATGTTTTAGGTGATTTTGTTTATAATGATATATAGTAAGGCTATGTATGTTATTTCACCACATTTATGTTCATTTCACATTGGTTTAGTTTCGGCTAGGATGCCATTTTCAAGCCATCTGTAAGTAAACTTACAGTTAATTTCATAGAATACTGCATTTAACATGCTATAATGGTGATGATGGTCATCTTTTAAATTAACATTATGAATTATTACCCTGATTGGGTTAAGTCAATCTTTTAATTTACAAACAAGCTCATTTTATCTTTTGGTTTCACTTAAATGTAAAATGAAACTATACCTGGTGAAATAAAATTCATAGCCTTACTTTTTATTAATTTATCTAAGTAATGTTATAAGAATTGGTTTTGAACTTCTAGTATTAATAAGGCATAGAAGTAACTTTAATTTAAATAAATAAAATTATAAATTTATTCATTCATTACGAATAAACTGTACTGTTCGTCGGGCGATTTTGTAAATCGTAAATGAGGTTCCAACTTCAGTTATGTTTTTCAGACTTTAGGCTAAGATGATTTTTCATGCTCTGTATTCTCCTAGCATTAGCCCACAAGCTGGGCAGAAATGCTGAACTGTTTTAAAAACATTCACAAAGTATGGGACAAGGCAGAATGGACAACACCTGTTAATGAAATAAAGTTATTATAAACCACATTGTGTATATAATTTTTATAAAACAGTATAAAAGGTAAATGAAATACCTAAATAATGTTTTAATTATTTAGAAGTCACTCTATTAGCCTCTGACTACCACTTAATATAACAGTTTCTTTAAATTGTCATCCATATGACACAAATTATGTGGAAAATTAACCGTTCGGCAACATCAATAGTGCTTGATCTATCAAATGTATTGACAATTATTTAAAAAAAATATCTGTTATACATGTATAACAAAGTCAATAGTTATATAGTATATATATATATATATATATATATATATATATATATATATAGTAAGACAAAGTGTCAATAGTTGGGTGATTTCAATAAAATATTTAAGTACTTCGCTACCTCTCGTTTTTACAACGAGTTAATTTTTTACTTTTTGAGCTTTCGTATATTTTACAAAACAAAAGGAAAACACCACCTCTTCCCACTAGCGGATCCAGGATTTAATTTTGTGGGGGGGCTTCAGCCCGAAATCTTTTTTTTTCATAAAAATAACGATAATTGCTTTGGAAAAATAGAAAGAAACTAACTACCTATATGAAATGGTGTTTAAATTATTCCTTAAGTACTTTTAAATGTAATTACACGAACAATAATACCTTAAGAGGTATTTTTTAAATTTTCTTTTCCCATAAAACATGGTTATATTTTTCCATTTTGGGGGGGGGGGGCTTCAGCCCGAAAGCCCTCCCCCCCCCCGTAGATCCGCCCGTGCCTCTTCCTATTGACAATGCCAACACACAAGTACCCACTCAATCTTGTTTTTCTCAATCTCTGTGAATGAGCATAAGAAACCTACTTTATAACAACAGACTAGACTCAGAATAACTAACTGGACTGAAACATATAAAGAAATAATGAAATGAAACCTAGTGAGCCCCTTCAGTAAAAACTGATTCTAAATTCTTAAAAACTAGCCACTCCTCGTAACTGCTATAAAATTCGTTGTATTCCGTAAAAGAGATCCATCCTTCCATAATCCTTTATCCAACATAGTGTTTATAAAACAAAAGAATAATAAACATTATAATGGTGTATTTTATATTGTAGTGGCTCAAAAAATTTACACGACGATGCCTATGAAGTGATATCCTGAATGTGCCAGACGTTTACTATACAGTTAGGTTTAAATCTTAAATAAGAATTGCAAAAACGACCGAACTATTTGTGTATAATTCATGACTCTAGAATGGTTTCCCAAAATACAATGATGTTTTTCATGTTTCTCAACTGTTCTCTGTTATAAAAGGAGTTGTCACCAGAAAACTTGTTTTTTAGTTGAGTTCTTGTTTCATTTCAGAAATATCATCTTCAACAACAGATGGATGATTACATTTTCCCATGTGCCGAGGCACATGCACCGCCTCACAAGAAAAACTTTAGCTCTCCTCTTCTTAAAAACAGTGCAAATGAACATGAAATTATTAAAATTGTTATTTATTTTTATCCTTTGTTTTTTGGTTTAAAAGTTCTGTTCAATTTAAACCTCAAAAATATATGGTTGCCTCCAAAAATCAATAATCTCATAAAAATGGGCACCTCTCATATATTTTGATGGCGTAACTTGCGCCACGTCACCCCCTCTTGGGTGGCACCCTTAAGTGTTTTATTCACCTTGGAAAGAAAATGTCACGTGATCAGTGGTAGATGGATTTATTTTACAACCACTTATTAGAGAGAAGAGGTTTGCAGAAGTATTTTACTAAGGAATTCGAGCAGCTTAATGAGAATTCGTTGCTTACAGAAAACACATGAGTGTTGATGCTAGGTGAGTCTTCCAAGAACAGCTACTGTGGGTTATAGTGATCACCCTGTTCTTGCATACGGGGCAGGTCAGGGTCTGAGGATCAGGGCCAAAGCTGTCCCAGGTGACTTCTTCTGGAACTATAAAAAGCAAAAAGAAAAATATTTCTTGTTAGATTGAATTTTTATACTGCTTCATGTTTATACTTAATATGCAATAAAAGTGTAAAGTTGAATTTGAAATATTAGATATTTAGTCATGACTAAAAAAAAAAAACACCTGTACCAATTCAACCAATGAAGGATCTTGATTTTAGTACATGTAAGGAGTACTGTTTCAAGGTAACGGTCGTGCAGAGAGCTGATCGAGCCTAGATCACGCTCAACCGCCAGGTTTCCCACCTTAATTAACTATTTTATTAAGAGTACCCACATTAAAGAGGCTGGGTGAGCCTCAAGATGTTCTCCCACTCCAGGGTTGATCCACGGCTGTTAAAAATTATTTGTCTTCAGCCGGACTCGAACTCCTGACCTTGAGCTTTGGAAGTCAGATTATTATTTTGAATAACTTACGAATTAATTATTGTAACGTTGGGACTGAACTCTCATCGTCTGCTACTCATTCCATAATACACCATTACTCGAAGAAGAAAATGTCTGTAAATAGCTGTGAAAGTGTTAAAGATCAACGCAGTTAAAATCTGTAGATTTCCCTTGAAATCATGGGCATTTTATGTATGTACATGATATAAAATGGACTTGCAACTTTACTTTGAATGTTTTTTTCATTGTTTATTATTCATGTTAAAAAATTGAAGAATGAATTACCATTTTCAATTACCTGACTAAAAAGGTGAAGAGTGTAATGGGAATTATTTCAAGAACTAATAGTGAACCTTAAGAACAAATTTTAGATAAGTAATATAACGTCACATAGAAACATCATTTTAATCAATTTTAAAACTTGGTCATGGACTCCACATTTTTACTATAAAAATAATATAAAGAATTGTATGTTTTACAGAGAAGAAATACAAAGAAAGGCATAACAAAATAGAAAGATGGCATAATATTTTGCACGTAGACACCAAGATGACAAGATTCAAAATTGTTTTTGGAACTGTTTGAAGCAGCATGATTATTTTTAGGTATGTTTAGCAATACGTTCCACAATTAAGATAATATGATATATACAAAGCATACCTTAAAAAAGAATATAATATCTGCGAGCTTATTGACCCTTTTCCAGATAGTTGATGAAGAAATAATCGACCAATAGGAAATCATTTGCCATTGGCTACAATAGAGCAGCATTCCTACCCCATAAAGATTTAAAATGGTGAAATACCTTAGCAGTGGAGGAAAGAATTTTCCTATCAACTAGAGATATCATAAATAATTTATGATACCTCACAACTTGTTTTCAAGATAATTTAGTCCAGATACTTACTGTTCAAGCGCTGTACTCCGTCTTGTAGAAAAGAAGAGATAACCTATTTTTTACCTCAACTTTAATGATCTTATTGTCGCAGAATGATGGTAACCATCAGAGAAACATTATAACAGGCCAGGAATGGGGAAGTATAGTACAGAATTATTCTCAGATTAGAAAAAAATAAGAATTGCTGAAAAAAAAATCAAATCTGGTGCGGTGCGCGCATCACACAACTTTCATTTACCACCCGCTTCTTATAAAAAAATAGTATTTTTAGACAAAGGGGAATTAAAAGTAAAAATTATAAACACTATATTGATTTATATTTCATTGTAGATATTTTTATTTCTTTAAATGCTCATATATACAAGGTATTTCAGGGTTAAGTGGCCTAACTGCAAAGATGAACTAAAGACCTCAAAACAAAAAAAAAATTTCTTCCGAAGGTAAGTCTTCAAACGCTTTGTTTAGAAGATATTCACATCTAAAGATATTCAAATTAGAAATCAATGTGAAATGTTTAATTGTTAAATAAAAAAAAATAAAGGTACTTTAAAGGAAGCTAATATTGAATTTTTTTTTTTTTTTAAATCTATTTATTGGATAATAATACAATTAGCCACAGCTGGAGGGCTATAAGTATTAGGGCTAAGAGTTCTCATTCATAAAAATATACACATAATAGAGAAATAAATATAAATATAAAAAGTAAATAAATAGTACCGATGAATAAAGTAAATAAAAGAAAAAAAAAGTAAACAAATAACATAAAATAGAAACTTCTAAACACAATCATACCTATATACAATATATACATTCGCCCAGGAATCTCCGAGTCAGGCTTTTTCCTCCACATGTGGAAGGCAAAGCAAGACTCCAGGAGATCCCAGTGCCACTTTTCCAGCCGCATCACTAGTATTAGAAGGGCACTAGAGCCACAGACGCTCAGGACATGAGTGAAGATGCTGGCCATTGCCAGGACTCCAGAAGCATATTTACAAGAGATCTCTGGGCCACTGCCGTTTTAACCTTCTTGGAGGATTGTAGGGATGAAGGGAGCTGGATAGGGATTGAGCTAGAGGATTTGGATGATGGATAAGGTTCTGGTGAAAATTTGAGAATCTGGATGGGATGATGTCGAGGACAAATGGGATGTTAAGGTCATGGTGTAGGGTCTTGTTTGTGACATAATATGGGGCATTAACTATTGTTCTGAGTACTTTGGACTGGAAGGGTTGGATGCGTTTGATATTCGAATGTTTAGCAGTTCCCCACAGTTCAAGTCCGTAGGTTTCAGTATGGTCTTGTAGATTAAAAGTTTATTTTCAATCGAAAGAAGGGATGTCCTACTTAGTAATTTATACAGCTGGCCATATCGTCGGTTAAGTTCTTGTCTTTTAAGTCTGGTATGTGGGTTCCAAGTTAGTCTTTTGTCAAGAAGGAAGCCAAGGTAACGGACTGTGTCTGAGTAGGGAAGTGGAATTGAATATTGAAAATTAGCCATATAAGCAGTGTTAGAGAACATCAACGAAAATAAAACCTTCTTATAATATTAAAAACTGCTTAACATTACACTAATATAATGAATATTATCAAAATCGTTAGAGCCGTATTCGAGAAAATAGTAAACATATGTTCGATGGTATATAGTGCTACTTCCGATTAGCCGATATTGACGAAAAATTTCCTGTAACTTCTAAGGTATATACCTTAAATATGCAATTTCACTTTCATACGACTTTTCGTTATTGACCTAGACCTATCACATAAAAACTAACACACACACACATACACACAGATCATTTTAGGGGACTTGGTTATTAAGACTCAGGAGACCTCAAAACATGAATTTCCGTTGAAAACTCAGATTAGAAAATTTTCATGATCGCAATACTGTCCCTTATTATATATAGGTAAGTGAAAGTAATAAAGATAAAAATGGAAATATTCAACAAAAATAATTGGATAACAAAAAATCTGGTGTGCGCAACACACAACTTTCACTTACCGTTGAAAATAGAAATTATTTTCTGGTCATGTTGGGCTATTTTTAAATTGCATTTTTAACTGAGGTAAAGCTAAAATATTGCAGCTAACAAATCATAAACACTTTTAAAATAACAAAAGTACTATTTATTATATCACCGGTTGATTATGGACTGTACGATTTGTTGATTATGTATTGTACGATCCGTTGATTATGGATTGTAAGACTATTAGTTATTAAACTGTTATTTTCCATTGCAAAGTTTATTAAAATGGAATAGAGAGATTTGCATTGTCTGTAATAGACAGGTCAAAAGTTGTCACACTGATTGAAAGTGGATTCTGTTAGAATGTCGCGAAGGGAAAATTTATCAAATTATTCACTAATTTAATTTTCTAGGAGGTCACATGATGATTTTTCGGAATAAACGACGATAGATACCTAATGGTTTAAATATAATTTTCACGATGGCAATACTTACACTCGCTATATATTACATATATAGGTAAGCTAAAGTAAAAATCTCTTTTAGTCCAACAAATTTTAAACTTATATAAGAATGAGTGTTATTTATGTATCAGTACTTTTATACGAATTAGTAAGCAAAAAAATCATAAGCTATTAGAAAATAAAAATAAAATTAAAATAAGAATCGAAAAAAAAATGAATTAGATCGAAGTACTGCAAATTAAAGTAGCTCACCGAGAAGGAAAGTTGAATCGGCCTTCATGGAAATGCAAGACAAGTATTCACCTCAAGAATGTAGAGGAAGTTATGGAGATGGTCGAAGGACTCCTCGGAAGACTCAGCGACTTCAGACAAGGTAACTTTGTAAACTAATTTGAAAGTATTTAACAAAGCCGACAGAGTAAAGCATTAGTTAAAGTAGAATTTTAAGGACAAGTGGTTTTCCATTTGTAAGAAATAAAAACGTATTAGCACCTGCATAAAATGTAGATTAATTCAACCTATAATAAAATATTATACAAAAGAAGACAACACAGTAAAACACAATAACATATTTCAATACAAAAAAATACAGAAATGCAATATAATACGATCCATTAATACATTATCAAACCATACAATACGATTCAATAAATGCAATAATGCCGTCAGTTACAAAAAAACGCTACAATACAATATCATATAGTACAGTAAAATAATACAATGCAAAGCAGTAATATACAACGAAATCCACTCAAGTAGTATTATACAATAGTAAATAATAAGGTGCAATAATACTTTAAAAAAATTTAATATAATACAATATAATAAAAAGCCATAACGCAATGTTATAAACACTAATGAGTAAAATTAAAAAAAAAAATCCTGTATCAATAAAAGCCATGGAGGGTCTGGGGTTTAGTACTCAGTAAGGAAATGCTTTTACTTGGTCAACAATTGTGCAAGGAGGTGATTTGACCGAGATCATGCTCAATCGCCAGGTTTTTCCCATAATTAATTATTGGATTAAGGGTACCCGATTTATAGAGGCTAGATGTGTCCCAGGAAGAGCTGCCGATCCCAGGATTGATACACAACTGATGGAACAGAATAAATAATTTATCTGCCATCAGCCGTGACTCGAACCTGGGACCTTGAGCGAAGCAACTGCCCTACCCATGAGCTACCATTCTACATAAAAACATGATACATTACAAAAAAAAATAGTACATTGCAATTAATACAATATAATACAATCCTACAAGATATTACCATGCAATATAATAAAATACATTATCACAATGAAATACAATAATATAATAAAATGCAATGACAATGATAAAATACAGTAATACATTACAATTAATAAAATACAGTACAATACAATACATATTTTAAAGGCTACTTAGGTTTTTAATAAATCCAAACATTGTTTAAAAAAATAAAATGTTTTCTTGTCAATTCAAAAAGAATTACGAACAAATTGAGCTAGACACACTTGACAGGGAGAATTTCAGAACTTACTAACTCATGTTCCTGATGATGCTAATTCTAGTAATTTGGTAGAAAATATATGTTTTAAGTTTCAACTCTATATTCTGAAAGAACTAAGTTACTAAGTCACTGAACATCTTTATAAGTTATAAGTTCTGATGCTTATGAGTATTAAATCCAATGTATCTGTATTAATTGCTATTGATTAAGTAATAATACGTTTATACCGAAACAGGTGAGGTCGGAGCCATTCCTTTGATCCAGGATAAGAGGACGACCTCCTAAGTATCGATGTGCAGGTGGTGTTGCTGCTGATGTGAAGAACATTTTCTGCAGGAAGCTGCAGAACTGGATGGTATCTGTAAGAGACCAATACGGTTGGCGGAAGCTGAAGATTCGACACCGGATTGGAGTGTCGCGCTAATAATAATAATAAATCATATGTAAATTTCAAGTCGAAAATCCTATAATGCCTACCCTACGAAAAGTATCTAAAAGGGTTGAACGACATACGGACTTAGCTTTAGTTCAAAACAATCTCAGATAATTCTCGGGTGTCCGTGGATCTGAAGCGGATTGCTGCAGAGGATTTTTAGCCCAAGATGAATATGTAACATTTAAGTATGGGGCGGGGTATTAGGCAAGTATAATGGAGTTTATAGCAATCTGGCGATTGAAAATAGACTTGTAAAACTTGTCCGAATGAATAATGAATAGTGTTCCCCAAAATTGGTCATGGTCTTGCTGTGCAAAGTGCAGGACCACCTGACTGTCAGGAATCGCCTAACTGTTGCAAGACCAAGACCAAGGCTGTTAAAAAAAAAAAAAAAATCGTTTTTGGGAACAAAAAGTGAGGCAAAATAGTTACTAATACTTGACAATTTTAGTTACTCTACTATTTAACTCTTCCAATTTTTCATTCATTCTAAGTTAAGTTTCCACAATCTGGAAAATTACAGTAATATCTCTATGGTAATAGGCTAATAGGTAACAGCAAAACTGTTGCGAGACTCTGGCACAAGACCTAAACTCATCTTGGACTCGCATTTGGGCCAAACTAATAATGAATGAATCATTAAAAGCATAATTAGCGTTGATATGACAATAGTTTTGTATTTCTTTCAAAATGCAGATGGGAGAGTTATGTTATGTTACCCAAAATTAATGTTTGGGTTTTAATAGAATTCAGCACATGGAGGTTTGTTGTAATTTATCTATTCGTTTATTTATTCTTTGACGAGTTTGCTTTGAAATGAATCTGGAACCTTACATTTCTGAACTAACTACAACAATAATACTGTAAGTACAAATATATAGGCTAATTAAAATAAAAATTTGATTGAAGAAATATTGCCGGATTTGCAACCAAATTTTATTGACAGAAGGAAGGAAGGATCAGTAACAGTAAGTTGTCAATATTGTTATTGAGCTGTCGATAATGCGAGAGGGGCCGTGAACTCGCTGCGACCTTCTCGAGTCGATATCTGTGACTCAACCTCTGCTGCTACCGTGATGTAATATACTTCTTTGCTAATTGAGCTTTATGTAATGGATATTACCCTATAGAAAGCTAACATAAACCATACTTCTAGTTAATTCTAGACTATCTAAAAACTAATGAAGACTACCATATATTGAAATTGTCCTGATGTTTAATTATTCATAGTGTTTCATTGTATGAAATCGTATCTAACAGGATACGATTGGAATCAAGGAACACAAAAAATATAAACAAAAAAATAAGAAATATGCCATTCCGACTTTTGCAAGAGCTAACTCAAAATTTTGTGACTTGTTTGAAGAAATCTTTTGCTCATATAAATTCTCAAAACTCATTTCAATTCTTATCATTCAAGTTGCACAATCTTGTCAACTCGAAGCGTTTCAAAACAGTGGCCGTTGAAAGGAAGGAACCAGATTATATTAGTTGAAGATGATTTTTTTTTTTTTTTTATGACAGAATAAAAATGCTTTCCCCAGATACCAAGAAGAGTTGTCTGTTCAAGATGGAAAGAGACATCGCATTGACAGAAAAAATTAAAAATGTTTTGACTCATATATAAATAGATATATATATTTAAATAAATTATAATACATATAATAAATTGATTATTGAGCTATTCCTTCATGTGCCCTCCATTCTTCTTTCATATTGAACACTGCTATCAAGCTACAATGATGTTCGTTCCTTCCTCCCCCTGACATCTTTAAGTGGCAGTACCTAAGTTATAGACAATTTGATCACATAAGTGGTTTCAATGTCACATAAGTGGAGAAAATGTCAATTTTTGTTTGATAGGTTCAACTGAAACTATTTCTGATGATTCTCATTTAAGAATGTTCAAGTTAAAAAAAGAAAAAGAAAATGTAAAAAAAAAAAATCAATAGAATCGGTTAAAAATGATCTCCATTTTTAACCGATTCAAATGATTTTAAAGAAAATTGGTTTGTTTTTTCAACTTATTAAAACTCACTAATGCCTGTCTTTCATATGGGCTACTCATATATCGAATGAAGTACCTGTGATTATCCGAGACATTTATAATTTTAAGTTATTCGATAAACAATTACTTTTGGGGGCGGTGTAGTCGAGCGGAATAACGTGTGTGCAAAACATGCTTTGCCCGGTACAACCTGAGATCAATCGGTCTAAGAGTTCGAAATCCGGTGCCGGAGGGACTTTTCTTAACTCTGTCATAATTGCACAGCCCTTCCAATTGGACCAAGAATGCCCTGTATATAGCGTTGCCCAAGGCCACCTAACTGTTGCAAGAACAAGACCAGGACTGGTAAAAAAAATCGATTTTTTAAATAAAAATTAAGGCAAAATAGTTACTAATACTTGATAATCATAGTTACTATATGTAAATAATTGGTATAACCAATATACTTTTGCATTTAACTCTTCTAATTTTTCATTCGGGCTTAGTTAGGTTTCTCCTATCTAAAAAATTACAGTAATATCTCTATAGTAATGCTATGTTCCTGGCCTCGCGTTTCTACGGCGAGTAGGGGGTTCCAGGAACCGCATTTATTTGTATTTAATACTTATATTGGTATTTATATCGGTCCCAGAAGAGAACCGATCTACCGAAAAATAAATTAATGATGTATTTAAATGTTAGATACCACAGACCCCCTACTGTAGAATCCTAGATTGAACCATATAATTTTTATTGGATTTCTTTCCTAAAGGTATCATGTTTTTAAATTTACTAGCTGTTTCTGTTACTAATTGGTGGCATGCAAGGTAGAATGGTAAAAGTACTAAGTTTACTAACTAATATATTTACAAATTCAAATAACCAAAACATATATATACAAAATAATAACTAAACCTATATAAATAATGATAGTTGAGAATCATACTGGAGGAGAATGCTTGATGTTCATCTTGCTCCCTCTGGCTGTGTCCTAGCCTGAGTCCCAGCTATCAGTCCATATCTTCCTCTCTCCGCTTCTCCTGATCAAGACCTTCCTCGCTTCCTTCCCAGCTTGAAGTCTCCTCAGCTGAGTCCCAAAAAGAAGTGTCTTAGTCCTAGTCCTCTATTTCCCACCTTTCTTCATCCCCCTCTCTTTTGGTAGTCTTCTCTGATTGGCTGAATATTCCTAGCCTAAGGGATGACCACGCCCTCTCCCCCAGGCCAAGGTAAAGCAGCAAGTACAGATTTACGTATTTCTGGTGGAAGGTGTGAAAAGGTCTTTCGGGATCCTGTTTAAAACACTCAGTTGTCGGTCTTGGTCGGTGGTTCTTAAGGGTTTTTATTACCACTTATAAAAGGTTGTCCTCGTGGGTCGTTACCCTCAGTCAGGTACCGCCAGATGTGAGCACTTATGATGTTTATTTATACATTTAAAATAATTATTCCACCGGCGGTCTTTACAATACATAGCAGTAATAAGCTAATAAGAAACTGCAAGACTGTTGCAAGATTATTAAGCAAGAGCAAGACTATGACCAAGACTGAGTTTGCAAGACCAAGACTCGTCTCGGTCTCGCATTTGAGCAACAGTACCTGTATAGCCTAAATGGCGAGGAAAGGGGGGAAAAAATAACATAGCAAGCTTTACAAACATTTCTAAACTATTTAAGGTATGTGTTTTTTTTTTCTCAAACCTAATCTTACTGCTCATCTGCAGTGTAACAGGAACTACTATTCAAAATTTCAGCTCTATAACATTGCCATATTTGAGAATCAGTGATCAATAAGTCAATTGCACAGTTGGGAATTTTCTTATTCGAATTTGTTTAGAATATATTCTTGTTTCAAATCAAAGAAATAATAATCCGTTTTTTAAAGTCGAAGTCTCTCTGTTTATAAAATACATGACCAACTGAATGGCAGAAAGGTACAGACTTATAAATATTTTAACACGTGCTATGTTACAAAACTAAACCGTTGATCTTGGCGAACTGAAATAACAGACTTGAAACTAAACAACCACAGATAGAACCGCAAGAGGAAGGACCTAGAAAGAGGGAAAGGACAAAGACCTTGGGAGACCGCAGGAGCTTGGACAAAGAACATGGCGTTCTTCACGACTCCTGTAGGAAGCTGTCACAGATGACCTTTGGCGGGTCACCTGCACACAGCGCTACTAGGACTGCATGCCTTTAACAAGGTTTACAAACACTTATTCTGCTTTAACAGGAAAAGTATTCGCCGAAAGATGCCTACGGTGTTAATGGGTGTAATGATGGCTTTCACATAATGTGGCTGTTTTTGATTGTTTTGGGCGTATCTACCTAGAGTAGGTTTCACAAAACGGAACCAACAGAATTAGGTCTATGATACAATGTATCATTAATAAATATTCCATTTACACATTCAGTAACGAGTAGGGAAATATTCTTGCTTTAATTAGCATCGAGAAACGTTTGCCTTTCGGGCGGATAATTCTAACTGAAAAAAATCTGGTGCGCGAATCACACGACTTTCACTTACCACCCTCTTCTTAGCAGAAATAAGTATTTTCAGACAAAGGGGAAGTGAAAGTAAAAATTATAGGCACTATATTTATATAAATTTCATTGCGGGTATTTTCATTTGCTTAAATACTCTTATATATATTATATAGACAAATTTTAATTTTTATATCCCATACAATTAAATATTAAATAATACCAACGATAGCATTTATGTTATTACAATATTGTTATTGTTACAATATATTACATAATATTGTTGGAATCTGTATTATATTAAGCTCATGTTAAGTATGCACTCTTTCGGGCGAGTTCAGACGCTCTCGTATTCCTTTGGTTCTTCTATTATAACTATTATCCGTTACGATCTCTTATATCTCCATTAGTTAATTTCAAATTCTTTCAACTTTTATATTTGACTATTTTTCGTAT